TGTGCAGAGTCTGAGAGAGAAAACTGAATTCCAAGGCGAATGTAATCCAACTCGTGAGACTAGAGCGAGGTCGGAGATCCAGTGGGGTCACAAGACTGACCGAGAAGTCGGAGTAAGTCACCAACGGGATACGTAGCTCAGGCTGAGGAAACCTCAATAGCGACCGAGGACAAGTTGAAGAGTGGAAGTTTAAATAAACAATGTGAGTGAAGTTAATTAGTGAGTGATCGGGTGCTCATGGGAATGCAACTGTGTCTGCGTGTGGTTTGTGACAGCAAAATCTCTAGTTTGTTTTTCAAGAAACCTTCTTTTTATTATTTCTATCAATTGAAATTGATGGGAATTATATTTCCACAAACTCACCTGTATAGTTTCCCCCCATGAAGCCAAAGGGATTATTAAAATGGTAGAGACGATTCCATTCACTGGTGTTAAAATCTTCCTTGTGCATAAAGATTTTAATATCAGGAATTAAGGCCTTCTGAAAATCAGGATCTTTAGACAGCATGACCGATTCTGGGCAGGTCTGAAACAGAGCAAGAAACGAAGTGAACTGCAGTTCTTACAGTTCAATTTGCTTCTGAATAATTAAGCTCACAAACTTTACAAAACCATAAATAATTACATTTCAAACTGTCTTTCTAACTCCGAAACAAAGAACACAAAGAGAAGACATTTAGGTTTTCTACAAAGTGAAGGGAATAAATCAAGCTATCAGGAGATCACAGATACAGATCTACACTTAACCTGAGATATTTGAGACACTCACATTCTGTTCACACCTCTTTGGGTCAACTGTTTCTATTAAATCTCAGCAGTGTTACATTGGCAGCTTTATTTAAATTGCAATTTTTATCATTTTCAAAGTGAGGTACAAAACACTGACAAAAAGTATGCAGAAAAATGGGGATCTGTTTTTATTTTCTCGTTTGAAATGCAACAGCTAAGCAACTAGACACGTAACATATGATGAGTGATCCACATAAGAAGAGCCACAAGGTTTGCGCTTGAGTGAAACTATGAACACAGCTGTTTTCATCTCTCTTTAAAGTTCTGCAACTTTTTTACCATTTTTTTGTTGTACCTGTCAGTGCTCACACTGACACATACTGTACTCTCCCCATACTGCTCTCCTCTTAAACTTGTTCTACCTTGAGCACACGGATGCCTCCTGTTGGACTGACATTCTCATGGATGAGACAGGTGTGGTTTGATTTAATTAGCAAAGGTTACAAATCATCACAAATGTAGGAATGCCCAGCTTGAGGCTATTCCCAAGTCCGATACAAACAAGAAATCCTCTGAATTTTGTGCACAGCCTCTTAAAACAAATGCTTTAGATCTGATGTTAGAAATGCAGAAATTCAGAATCCTCAAACATGAAGACAGCGCTGGATGATGAAGTGGGGCGTCCCGCATCTTCATCGGGGCTCTAAAGGTACTCTCTTTCAATCATGTTGGGACGGCTACTCATTATTCAAACAGGAAGGCATTTGCAATTGCATTGAACGCACCATGACTCATTTCACACAAAACCCAGTGTAATCCTCTGTAATATAATGGGGATCTGTTCTGTGTCTGGTTAGAAATGCAACAGCTAAGAAATGAGACAGTCAAGGTGAGTTACCCACAGAAGAGTCACAACATCTGAGCTTGAGTAAAACACAAGATGAGATTCCCTGCTTCTGCCTTCACCTTTAGTCTTCTAATTTGGAGTACTAGTCCATAATTTATTCCAGGGCATGTAGAACCAGGGCATAATTTATTTTTAAACAGGAAATATTTTACTTTCCCCTGCATCCTGAGGCAGCTAAGCTTACCGCTGATACAAATCTACTGTTATATCCTATGTTCTGATCAATGTGTAATGCACAACTATTATGTTACATACATGCATACTTTACTTGCAAATACCTCTTACATTTTAATAGGCCGCAGGGAAACACCCATATTGAAACATTACCACTTTCATTGCAAAGTGAAATGCTTTCATTGCAGACATGAATGGAAAATTAAGCTGCTTACGACTTCCATCATATAATTATAGAGCTTTATCAATCTTTGGCATAAAAAGTAAAAATGATCATCAATGAGTGTCCATAAAATTCATTTAGAATTTATGACTTTTCTCATTATTGTTAATTAGTTCTGGAAACCATAAATAGACGGTAAGGAAGGTAGACACAACATTATTTCAACTTTTAAGTGATGTATGGTGGTCAAATATGTCTGAAAGGGTGCAATATCTGGAAATCTTACCTAACTACAATCTCTTTACAGACATTTCCTCCATGAACAGCACAAGCTGCCTTAAAGATTAAATGGATACAAATCTAAAAAAGATACATAACAATGGCACAAATGCATGTGTGTATTTTCAAACACTTCAGACCTACAGTACCATACAATATTTTTCCATCTTCACAAGTATTATTTTATTACTGAAATATTAATAAACATTGCCTTGTCTGCTGCACTGTGCGTTCATCATCATGCTACTGTTCAGTTTTAAACATGATCTACTGGGGAGATCACACCACCAATACTTGGCATTGTTTGGTGTTTCAATGCTTACATTTACCCTGCACAACTTCCGAGAATGCCTTGTTTAACAGCCTTCACCAACATGTCCACAAAGTGTCAGAAGTGGCAACTCCCTGAAAGAATGACTCACACATCTGTGGAGAAATGTGGATATGTTTGTAACGCTAAAGTCTCTTATTTCCATGCCTGTAAAAGACACTACTTATCACAATCTAGCCTTCCTTCCCCATACTTACACAAATCTGAAGTATTTAATCCTTAATCCTGGGCCTAAACCCTGACAGATTCCTGTAAAAACCTTGCAGCAATCCCATGAAAACTTCCCTTTTGGGCTCTTGAGACAGAAAAAAAAAAGGAATTTTGAATTTCCTTGTGTTGTCTTGATTGGATTTATTCAGGAATCATGCATACCGTTTTTGTAAGACTGCTAATATCTACAGTAAACTACACGAAATCTGTTTACTGTATAATATTCTTTTACTAAGTGAAGCATGTGAGAATGTTTCCTGAGCTGTGGGTTGCTCTTTGTGCTCAGAAACATGTCACTGAGCTGAATGAGCAGGGACATATTGGTTAGTTAAATCTGTAGCACATGGCTATTTGGCAGAGAAGTTACCAATTTACAGATAGGTGCAGATTACTTCACTCCAATTTACAGATATCTATTACTCTGTGGGTACGATTTGCCCAGTATTGCCTTCAGTTTTTGATTTTAAGTTCTTAATCTCTGGATGAAAAAGACATGTTCATGTTTTAAAATGAGTTAAATATTAGCAATGTTAGTGTAGTTGCAAGCTCAGAGGACACATTCCTTCTACATCACAGAGTGCAGCATGTTGTTTATAAACATTTTTTAAACACACATTTGACGCAGGTACCTCACCGTCTGTCTGGGATGGGAGTCCCGTCGATATATGTCCTCAAAATCCCATTTGGGAATTTTCTTAAAGTCCAATTTATTCATGGGTGGCACAAGTGGCGTAGGGGTCATGCTTTTGGTACGTCCTTCCAGTTTGTCTTCTGCTGGTGACATCCGGTTAGCCTTGGTGCCTCTTGTCAATGTGACTTTTTTGGACTTGGCAGTTGTGGACTTCTCTTGAGGTCTTTTTGTGGTGGTACCAACCTTGCTGGGTTTGGGGGTATCTTTGGTGGTCTTGCTGCCTGGGAATGTTTTGGAGCTTAGTGCTTTGGGTTTCAAATTGTCATCACTCTCCACCTTGTCCTTTTCAATTCTTTTATTTGTAGTTTCTGCCTTTTTGTCCAGGCTGGCTTTTAGGGTACCATTGGAACCAAGTGTTTCTAGTGCATGCTGGGATCTACCTTGGTTTTCATCTAGAAATAAGACGCTTGCTGTTTCTTTGGAAAACTCTGATCCTCTTGTGTGTACAAAGCTTCGCCTTTTGTGGAAAAAAAGGGACAGATGTAAAGATGTTATTATTCATTACACTTCCTTCTATTGTGAGTGAAGCTGTCTTTAAGGAGGTAAACAATACAATAATAATGGAAAGATGTCAAATAGCTTCTTCTAGGCATTTGGCAGTGACAAATTGAAATGACACATCCAAGCTCGCAAGATGCCCTGATTAGAGCGGAGTTTGATAAAAATAATACATCTTAATTGTAACAGAGCAAATAGGACTGCAATTCCTTCTTTGGTAAACCAAAACTTTTTTCTCTTTAACCTCTCTCTCATACAAATAAAAGAAAACACACAAACTTTCACAACATGACAAATTTATCTTTTTTTGCGAACTAAACAGTTCTATACGCATATCATACCGGTGTGGCTCTGTTACTGATTTTTTTAATTTATTTTCATTTTTTTAATAGGATAGGAAAGAGTTTTTCTAAAATATGATCTGGAAATTGACTTGAAACAGTGAAACATATCTAATGTGCAGAGAGGGACTGTTGATCATGTGATAAAGATCACCATGAGCTGCATGGTAAACTTACCTGAAAAAGCAGGCAACAACAAAACTACATTCTGTTTAATGAATCTTATAATGATAAACGGTTTATTAAGCTATGTTTAAGAGGGAAAACAGTAGTGAAAATATGTATACATTCATAGTTAAGTCTATTTCGAAGTAGTTAAATTGAAAAAAGCATGAAAAGGCTAACCGTTACAGATCATCTTATTTTGTGTGTGTTCTGTGCTTTTTTTGTCCTGTGGTTTTGCAACACTGAGAGTCTGTTCCCCCTGTTATGCTGTACTCTGCTGCCTGGCCATTGTAAATGAAGCACAAACCCCTTAAAGAAGCAAATGTTTTGCTTACTTGTTCTTCTGAACCCATACAAGCATGTTTAAGTGCTACTGTATTTACTTTGTGTGGTTATTTCATTTAACCATGATCAATAGCAATCCCTAACAACATTTGATATTCCACCTCACAACTGTTCTTTTCAAGTGCACAAGTGACAGAACATCAGCTGGAAGTGCAACAGTGTTTGGATGCTATTCAAGTGTATTCAGTGCTTGCACTGCTCTTCAAAAGGATAAATACTAAATACACTTTCTAAGCATATTTAAGAAATCAACCAAACATGCAACAGAATTTGCAAAAAATATTGTACCTCTTATTACTGTATATGTACGTATCATCTCATATACGACACCCATGGAATTAGTAATTTGCAGCAATAAAACCACAGATCAAGAGAGGATCAGAAATGATCTATTATGGCCTGTAGGATTACATGGAACAATAAGAAAAAAAAACAATTGCACTGGACTGCTTCTCATCAAAATAGAGTGGAATGTCAGTAAACCACAGGCAGACAGACTGTCAAGTTTGAGTTCCTAGTTTTACACCAAACAGAAAAAACAGACCATTGAAAAGAAGTCAATATTTAATTTGCTTAAGGTATGGTTAAAACACCTAAGGGGTACACCACCTGCTTAATAAATTTGCAGAGGCTGAACTCATCGTTGCAACAATTTCCAAAGACAAATATGGCAGCTGTCTTGGTTTACATGAGCCTCATTTTGCAATACTAAAATTGCATTTTCACACAAATGATACCTAACGTGTTGGTCCATAAATGGCTAAACAGGTTTTGCACGTTTTGTTGTTTTGATGATGTCTTTACCATTGGTGTCAAGTGGTAAAGCGGTAAATTCAAAGGGTTCAAAGAGAAACAGAGAGAGCTTTTCTTGTGTTTAGTTAGTAAGAATCCTGAAGTCTGACCAAAACCATTTAGACATAAAAGGTTTCAATAAATTAAGTAAAGAATATACAGACTAGATATATTTATGAAAAGTTACAAAGGATAGGAGGCCTTTCAGCCCATCTGCTACATTAGGTAGCTAGTACTGTATAACTGAGATAACTGAGCCAAGGGTCTCATCCTGTTGTTTCTTGAAAGAAGCCAAGGTAATGACTTTGATGATGGGGCAGGTTAGCTTGATCTATAATCCCACAACTCTTGTTAGTAAAGACTTGCACCCTGCTCTCAATTTTAAATGCATAGTTCTCGTTTGGACCTAGAGGTTCGTGTTTCATACAAATCCAATAACAGCAACATGGGACAAGCTGGCAGTGACAAGGGAAAGCAGCAGATAAAGTATAATGAACCATCAGTTAGGTAACATTAGACCAAGCCAGTGAGGGAAGAGAAGACAAAGTGGAGCAAAATGTAGTGATAAGCAATCCTAATAGGAGGTAAACCCATAGAGTTGAAAGTACAATTTCATCATCATAGTGCTGTCCCTAAGTTTGTTTCTGAACTGTCTTGATACGTGTTGCAAATGTTATTGTTTTAAAATGAAATCTCTCTTTCCTTGTGCAAACCATGTGAGCAGCAGTCCAATCTTTGATTCTGGGAGCTGGAGGAGCATTTGGAGATCTATGTGGTACATTAGTGGCCAGATGTGATTGGAAGAATCGCCCTGAAAATAAGATATACCCACCATATACTTGTCCAGATCAGGGATGCTACATCTCTATGTACTGTACTTACTCTTACACAACCACATTCTCTAAACTTTTCAATTGCAGGAAATCAGTGAATGGTGGAATTTACTAAGTAAAGTTTTAATTATGGCTTCATGTATTTGCTTGTGACGTTCTTGAGGTCACATGCTAATATACACTGATAAAAGAGTTAGAAGAAATAAATGTGAAGCAATAAAAAAGACTAACTCTGTAATATAATGATAGAAATTGGTTAATCATTTTATGATTTAGCGGTGCAAAGACACTGAGTGTTGCAGTGCAGCAAAAAAATGACCTAACCAGCAGGCTTTGTAAATAATGACAACAGTATGAACACAATATAAATGGCTTTTGAATAAATATGACTGAAAATGAAGGTATATCTATAAACAGGTCTTCTCTAGTTTTTGTTACATCTGAGCCGTCCATTACATGGTTAGGCTAATTATTTAATTAACTTCAAATTTGTTATATGTGTAAGCAGGCTGCCACATTTAATAGGCAACTTTTAAGTAATAAAATTACCCACTTAAGGTATAAAAGGCCTTAATAAAATCATTTATGTTTAATAAAATAATTAGTCAAGTTTAATTGATTATTCAGGTTTGAACAAAAGCCAGAAGCCAATAAGCCATCCAGGAACTGACTTCCTATCTCTCCTTATAAAAACATCTTATCCAAAACTAAACACAATTATATTTTATCATCAGCAGATAAATACAACACAAATATTGTTATAACAATTATTAACTACTTTACCCACCCCTCCCACCCAGATAAACTTTTATCATCATAAAACAAACTAAAACAAATGAACAGCTACCATAGTAGCCATATTTACAGATGGCCTATGGGTAATGGACTCAATTGGAGGCTATAAATATTTTTTTCCCAAATGCTTTACGAGAATATTTTGAAAACAAATCAAGGAAATCAAATCCCTTAAGAGATTTAGTTCCAGTAACAACTTTTATTTCTTCCCAATTTGGGAAACACGCTCAATATAAAAACACCAAAACACAAATAGTGAGTTTTTCTTCCCCTCTCAGTCTGTGCTCTCTCCAGCTGTCAGTTGCACAAGATCTCATCCTTGTTTGATTTTTTGTACAGGATGCTACTCTTCAAACACAAACAAAAGATCACCCACAAACCTCACAAACATCAGTCTTACTACACTTTGAGTACATCTTTTAACCCAACAGACCAGAGCTGACAAACATGAATGAAAGCTGTATATTTTCACCCATTGTAAAAGTTCAATTGAAGTAATCGCTACTCAAGGAGGTTCCACCAGTTACTGAATCCAAGGATTCACATGATAATTCATACGAAGACATTTACTTTCGAGTACTTTTCTACTTTTGAGAAATAATCCATATATACATATATTCTGTCATTGCGTTATACGTTTAATCAAGTTGTCATCTTTCGTCACCTCATGCCTTTTATGCACGTTTCAAGTTTAATACGAGGAAATTTAATCTACATCTATTTGTACTTCAGGAGTTACTGAACTATACGTTTTTACAAATAAAATCGCTAGTGTTCACTTCTTTTATAGAAAAAGCGCAATTGATATATATATATACTGTAGTAGTATATTTAACCCAATATCTGATAAATGTGGAGTACAAAGATTACCGTACATTTTGAATATTAAAATGAAAAAATACTCGGGTGTCCTTTACAGTTGTTGATACTGGTAGTACTGTAGGTGAAAGTAAAAAAAAAATAGTAACTTGTAAAACTCTTATAAAATCCTATAATGTAAAGCACTCGTTTGGGGAGAATATATCAAATACCAATCTGAAAGATTTACATCCTCAAATACAAGAAGATAATTTCCCCCAATTATGAGGGAAGCTACTTTATAAGCCAATTAACGATAATTACATTCTAAAAATTCTTAAGCCGCGCTCTGATCGTTCTCTACTACCCTGTGTAATACCCTTAATGACTTGTATTCACTAAGTATCCTTTCTGACTTTCTGATGAAGTCTTTAATGACTTACCGCATATTATACATCACCAGGTTCTTGGAATATAACCCATAGAAGAAAAGACATACGAAGGTTACTGCCAGGGTCACAAAGAAAAGTCTCCTAACTGTCATATTAATGACACACAAGGACATTCAAACCATCAGAAGGTCTGGAACACGGTTTTGACAAAATCCATTGCCTTCAGTTCCTTTGTACTGTCATACTGCCAAAAAAAAAACACCACCAATATTTACTAGATTTAAATACGATATGCAGGGAAATGGGCTTGCCTAGTGACACCTGTTGGATACGTTTAGGAATCTCAAACAAAATGTACATCATGTGAGTCAGCCGGTTACCAAATGCCCTATCTGTGGAAGAAAACTTTTCCCGATAAGAGATTACAATAACTACAAAAACTGAAATCTGTTCGCTAATTCTCTCATCCGTAGAAAATATACACAACATCGTAAATGCGTTTTTTAAAAGTTTTATTAAGTGTATTCACACACACGAATCGGAACAAAAGTGAGCTGTTTAACTGTATAAAATATACATACTGTATATCACATCAATTAATTAAGGAGACATTAGGGAGGTTTGCTTTTTTCAGTAGCCTACTGTAAATACAACAGTTTTGAAAAGATGGTAGAGTCGAATAGAATACCCGCCGCCCCAAAAGATAATTTAATATGAAGCAATTGTAATTTTAAAAGTAGGTGAGACCGAGTTTCCAAATGCATCGAAAAAATTAGCAGTTGAATTTCGAACTGATCAATAGTCACAGAGCTGACTACACAGGATTCCATGCAGAGCTACAGCACTTAAAGTGATGACTTTGTTCTCCCTTTGTTTCCTCTTTGTGTTTTTCCTACGTGTTGGTTTGTAGATGCTGGCACTACCGTGAATATCAAACCCTTCATTTCTTCACAGGGACAAATGTGTTGTGCCTCACATCTTTATCTCTTATCTGAATTGCGTGTTTATACGTGTGTCCCATTGGAAGCTGACTCGCACCCCTTAATCAGCTCCATCCACACACTTTTCCCAAGATGGCAAAACTAACCCAGAACCACCACTTTTCCAATGCTGGGGTCGTTCAGGTGGAGTCTGATTTCTCTGCTCTCCCTCCTCACCTTTCAGTTTTCAATTTGCTTCTGGCTCGGCCGTGGACTATGCAGGTGTTTCAGGAGCCTTTTCAACACCCAGCCCATTAGGTCCCTTGTAGTGAAATAATCTAGAATGTACCTGCCTTGTCATGCTCAGCTCATATCATCATCTATTCCAGCTCCAGATTCTGCCCCTGGGTATGGGTTTCCTCCAGGTGCTCCATTTTTCTCCCACAATCCAAAGACATACAGGCAGGTTGATTGGCTTCTGGGAAAATTGGCTGTGGTGTGTGTGTCCTGTGATGGGCTAGCATCCCATCCAGGGTGTATCCTGCCATACTGTATACCTGTTGCTTGCCAGTTCCCCAGAGATCCTGAATCAGACATACCTGTTAGTTAATTCTGCTTATTTTGCTGCCGGAACGTTATGAACTATGGTCAAGAAACAATCTGAGCTCTTATTACACTTCCCCCTATATGTACAATTGCAATGACACATCTAAACAAAGCTATACAGGCTTCTTGCCACACATTCAAAATGGCTCTTTTTCTGACCGGGTTTCTTGGTTTAGTCAGCAACTGACGGAGAAATTACAATGAAAATTGTGTCATTTATACCTGGTGAGCGAGGTGTTGCTGAAAAGCTGGAAAACCCTGTTTACAAATTCCAACTTTGTTATGCTTAACTCTGCATGACTGCTTTTGGTACGATAATACAATTTTAATGACACAATCCATTCAGGTGGATTGGACACCCTTTCTGGAAAATGGGTGAAAAGAAAGACATGCTGAGAGACCTTCAGAGAGGCATGCAGCAGGAGTAGGGTTGGAGACTCCCCACTGCATCTCCTGGAGCAGTAGCAGGTTGACACCAGCAGACATAATGGATGAGAATGCTAAGAGCTCTCCAGTGTTTGCCCCAACACACGAGAAGTAGTAGTGGAGGCAGTGGGGTCCAATACCTTTCCAACAGCCTCACAATAGGTGAAGGTCACCACAGGTTCGAGGCCACCTGTTCATATTTTCTGGGAAGCTACCTGGGTCAACTGCCCAGGCGCTGTGGGAAAGCATGGATGCCCCTAAACACCTGCCTGAGGAAGAGTGTACAGACATTTATCCAGGGAGGACAGGTGTTCAGGCAGGTCTTGCCCACCTGCCTGTCTTTCAACTTGAGGCAGGCTGAAACTGCTCCCATTGGGTTGAGCTTGTAGAGAGGACACATGACAGGAGCCCTGTGACAGGAATGTAAAAACCATGGGCCGCTGGAGGCCATCAAACAGGGCCTCAGGTGGGTTTGGATAGCCAGTTTCCACCCTCGAGGTCCAGCCCATCCAGATCCGTCCTGCTCATGCCTGTCAACCTGACTGACATCGCACCCAACCCCCCATCCTTCGCCTTGTGGGTGGTGAGCCCACACAATGGCTCCATGTAGCTCCACATCCCTAGAGGCAGTTTCCACTGCCAAGGTCTAGCCCATCCCGGTCCATTTGAAATGGTTCAAGCATATGGTAAGAATGCCCCCTGGACACCGTTCTATTGGGAAGAGACCACTCCCCCCAAGGGCAGACACTGGAAATCCCCACAGAGGAGCTGGTTGCCGTCTCTGGAAAAGGGCTTGTCTGCTCTCCTCAGCCTGTTGCCACCACCAGGAATAAGTGGTTAGTAATCGAGAAGAAATAAAGACCAGACTACTTTAACTATGACTAGTTTATAGCAGAAGAGCTGAGAGGTAGCGGATGCCTTCCTCACTAGAACTGTCTTTTGTTAATTATCTTAAAGAAATCTTAGTTATTTTTGAGAAGTTATTTTTTTCTTAAAAAAAAATTTTCATTTTTTTTAAATAATGACTAGGTAAGACCCTCAAACTGAAAGTTTTGTGTTTGGGGAGGTTCTCTTGAAGGTTTCCTCTGCCTTTAATGTCCTCCCCTCTCACCCTGCCCCTCTCCCCATTAGGTTTCTGAATTGAAACCAAGCATAGACATTATACACCTACAGCAAAGGTTATAAGACCTATAGCAAAGTTCTTTTTTTATAAATGTAAAATGTTCAGCTAACATTTTAACAGGATGATCTGCATATACAGTACAAGTCAAAAGTATGAGTACACCTCCTTGAAACCAGGTTTTTCCTGATTATCTGTGCTTTAAGCGCTACTGACCCCTCTCTTCCAAACATGCTTAACACCTTCTACGCACGCTTCGAAGCTCATAACCCTGAACCAACCACCTGGATCACTGACTCCCCTACCACCCTACCCCCCACACTATCCAAGCTAGATGTGTGGAAATCACCAAGTAGACTGAACACACATAAAGCTGCTGGACCGGATGGTATCCCTGGCCTGGTACTTAGAACATGTGCCTGGCAGATAGCTGATGTCTGTACCGACATCTTCAACCTGTCCTTGGCCCAGGCCACTGTACCTAGCTGCTTCAATATGACCACCATTGTGCCAGTACCGAAAAAATCAGCCCTCACATGCCTGAACGACTACCGCCCTATTGCACTCACCCCCCATTATAATGAAGTGCTTCGAAAAACTACTTATTCCACACATTAAAGCCAGCATTCCAAAAACACTGGATCCTCTCCAGTTTGCCTATCGTACAAACCGCTCCACAGAGGATGCAATCTCCATAGCTTTACACACCACACTAACCCACCTGGATAAAAGGAACACCTATACAAGAATGCTGTTCATTGACTTTAGCTCAGCATTTAACACCATCATACCCATAAAACTTTCTACCAAACTCAGGGCTCTAGGTTTAGATACAACCCTCTGAAGCTGGATCCTAGACTTCCTCACCAGCAGACCCTAGACTTTCAGGATTGGCAACCTCACCTCCAACACACTCACCCTTAACACCCCTCAAGGCTGTGTGCTCAGCCCACTCCTTTACTCCCTGTTCACCCACGACTGTACTGCCAAGTTCAGTACAAACACCATCATCAAGTATGCTGACAATACCACAGTTGTGGGCCTGATCACTGACAATGATGAGACTGCCTACAGGGAGGAGATAAAACGAATTGCAGACTGGTGCCGAACCAACAACCTATGTCTCAACATCAGCAAAACCAAAGAGCTGATTGTTGACTTCAGAAGACCGAACCAACAACCTATGTCTCAACATCAGCAAAACCAAAGAGCTGATTGTTGACTTCAGAAGACAAGGAAAAATTCACTCCCCCATCTACATAGAAGGGTCTGCGGTGGAGATGGTGAATAGCTTCAAATTCCTAGGTGGTCACATCTCTAAGGACCTTACATGGACACTGAACACCTCCAGTCTCATCAAGAAGGCACAACAGCGGCTGTACTTCCTGAGAAGGGTGAAGAAAATACACCTACATCCACAGATCCTCACCAACTTCTACAGATGTACGGTGGAGAGCATACTGACCAGCTGCATCACAGTCTGGTACGGCAACTGCCCCGCATCCGACCGTAAGGCACTACAGCGGGTGGTCAAAACTGCCCAACACATCATCAGCAGTGCCTTACTATCCATCCAGGACATATACAACACCAGAAGTCTGAAAAAAGCCACCAAAATTGTGTCTGACCCCACTCACCCCAGTCATAACTTGTTTGTTCCCCTACCATCTGGTGTAAGGTTCAGGTCACTCCAGTCACACACAACTAGACTCCAAAATAGCTTCTTCCCCAGAGTTGTCAAGTTGTTGATGCCCCCACTCCCTCCCACCATATTATGATCTCTCCTAACATCTTCCTGTACCCACAATGACTGTACTCCTACACCACTACACACACCTGTAAGCTGAAATTGTACTGTCCCCTCAATAGCCCAATAAAACTGTACCGGTTGTAATAATATTTAATATTTATTAATTAATCATACTATTTTTAACCATACTATTTTTGCACTGTTCCAAGAATTACCTTGCACTAGTTTTTGTCCTGTTATATTGTCTCTGTTTGCGGAATTTTGCACAGTTTTGATTACTTGATCACATGTTATTTATGTTATGTTATTACATGTTATTGCTATTGTGTTACTGTCTATTGTCTCATCTTCTGTCCTATTTATATAATGCACCTGAGTGACTGATGAGAAATACTTT